CCCCAAATAAGGAATTTTATCATGAAGTACAAAACTGAAGGCATCTCAACTGAAGAACAGATCTCAATTTTAATTTGAAGCATAAAAAAGCGGCAGAAGTCAAAACGTCTGAAAAGCGTCAGTCTCTTACCATTTCTGGACTGATGTAGTACGGCGTTCCTAGCACTGTTTGGGCTTGAGCTCGCGTCGTCATGATCTTGGAGATTCCAAAATCCCCTACTTTGATGGTGTTGTCCTTGTTCAGAAACACATTTGCTGTCTTCAGGTCTCTTATGAAGAATAAAACATGAAGATAAGATGCAGTGTGTGAACATTCAGTCTGTACAAGTATTACTGTACATAAAAAAGCACTTAATTTGGTAAATACTCTGTTGAAACCCCCTGAATGTTCCTTAAAGAAGGACACACTGTATGCCCTTAAAATCATATGTAAATTACCAAAAGAATAAGAATGTTTGAGAGAAGTTACAAAGTCAGACTCGTGGAATGGTTCACTGAACCCTTGGGTTTGCCACGGCTTTAAACATTAGAATAAAAACTTGAGCGATATCATCTTAATATAAATATACCAAATGGGCGGAATGTTTGCTTGTAACTTCAGAATTAAGTTTTAATATTCTCAGATAAACTCAACTTTTGACAGACAAATAGACTTCATGTTGTTATTTCAAAATAACAACCTTCACGTTGGGAGAAAATAAAATTTATCACATGTCAGTATTTGATTATGCAAAGAAGTTCATTCCATTAGAAGCAAAAAGGCAGATCCGCTATTGAAACTACTCTGTATATTCAACCCCATGTCACATATTACATATACTTGTACATACCTATGTAAAATGTTATGATCATGCATGTATCGTATGGCAGCAACAATCTGTCGAAATAACATGATTATCTCACGTTCATCAAGTCTCCTTGCCCTTCGTGACAGCATCTGCGCCAATGTACCACCATCCGCATACTCCATCTTTATCATAAGTACTCCATCACGCTCGAAGCTGCCAAAATAACTGCAAGATTGCATAAGTCTTATTATTTCCATAACATCTAAATTGAACGAGGCATATCATCAAGGTACATACAAGCATTTTGGGAAATCTCAAAGTATTCTTTAACCTTTACTTCAGACAGGTAATGGGTGGTCAGCTGTGCACTCTGGTGGCAGTTATCTGCAGGTATTTATGCACTGTTGTGAAAGTGGCTTTGAAGAGGACGACTACAGAGAACTTTTATGGCATTCGCTGAACAGTTGGCTTCTTAAGATGGCTGTCTTCTGGGTTGTTGCGCTGTGTAGTCTGGTCGATGTTTACCAACGTTTCAGAGGTCATACTGCCTCCATCATCAGGGCAATGAGTATGAAGATTTCCGTCTTCTGGGTTGTTGCGCTGTGTAGTCTGGTCGATGTTTACCAACGTTTCAGAGGTCATACTGCCTCCATCATCAGGGCAATGAGTATGAAGATTTCCGTCTTCTGGGTTGTTGCGCTGTGTAGTCTGGTCGATGTTTACCAACGTTTCAGAGGTCATACTGCCTCCATCATCAGGGCAATGAGTATGAAGATTTCCGTCTTCTGGGTTGTTGCGCTGTGTAGTCTGGTCGATGTTTACCAACGTTTCAGAGGTCATACTGCCTCCGTCATCAGAGTATGAAGATTTCTGTCTTCTGGGTTGTCGCGCCGTGTAGTCTGGACGATGTTTACCAACGTTTCTGAGGTCATACTGTCTCTGTCATCAGCACTGACAATTCATACACCTCCAGATCTATTTGAGTTACTAAGTGTAATGATACAGAGATTAATTGAAGACACTATGCCATATGCAAAATACTGAGACTTCAATGCTACAGCCAGTTATTCAATGGCATGTACAAGGAAAGGCATAATGGACAATACAGAATTACCATTTCCATAAATCACATTACCACAACAAAATTCTCACCTGATGATATTTGGGTGGTCCAAACTTGATAATACTTGAACTTCGTTAAGTGCCATTTGTCGCTCGGATGCTGTGAGGTCAATCATGTTCACCTCTTTGATAACGATCAGTGTCCCATCAGCAACTTTATGATACAGAACTGCAGTACCAAATGCACCTACAGGAAGAGAAGTTAGAAAGTAACACTCATTGCTGACATTTTCATTTCTTTAACATCAACTTTAATATTATCCTTCCATCTATGACTAAGTCTCCTTTCAGATTTATAACTAAAATTACAAAATAATTAAATAATTTTGAAGTATTTCTAAATTATATCTATAAAACTAATAAACATATCTGAATTAATTGCACAGGTTTAATTTCATGGTAGTTCATGTTATACATGTAGCACACAAGGAGCTAGATTTTCCCCAGGCACGTTTATTTTTTCCTGCCAATCATCATTCCACTGATTCTTCTCAGACTTTAGCCATCTGAATAACAAGTTTGTTGAAATAACATTCAATAATTCAGTCTGTACAGCACAGAAAACACGACACTTCTCCATTACAAAGATCAACTGGTTAATGCTGTTTAAGAAAATAATCCTTGTTTACAATGAGAATCATACAAACCCCACAGTTATTGAAAGCTAAAGCAGGTGGTACATACAGTTACCACTGGGCTTTAAATGATTAATATTGGCTTAATCATACTAAGTAATGTCAGGCAGGGCCCCACCAAGACATAATAAACTTATCTTGCACTTGCCCAGACCCCAAGTAATTTCTTTGTGCCAAAACGTATTACTATTTCATGAACACCAACACCTTGTTTCTCACATAAATGGAAAATTTTTGTATGCAGTTTATTATATTACAGAACATAATGAAAATGTTAACATTTTTTTCAGATCCTTATACATATAACTATGGTATATGCCCTTCCTCATCCACTCATACCTTTCCCAACTGTACGAATCTTCTCGTATCCTTCCAACCTTCGTTCACCTGCATCACTATTTTCAACCTGAAGCTTTTCTCGCAGTTTCTTAACATTAAAATAAAGTTCACCGACTGTAACATCAGATTCTGGATCAGATCTCATCCTGGTCAACTCCACATTAACTCCAAACAGGTCCTTAGACATTCCTACAGGAAGCTGTAAACAGTGAAGCAGATGTAGGATTTGGGCTTTTCACGGCGGTGAGTCCGAAGACGGCCGTCTTCTGGGTCGTTGTGCCGTGTAGTCTGGTAGAAGTTTATCGGCGTTTCAGAGGTCCTTGCTGCCTCCGTAATCAGGGCAACAACCCAGAGGACAGCCATCTTCAGCGAAGCAGATGCACGATTTGTGCCCGTGACCCATTGTGTGAGGCATAAATCATGTTATATTATGTTCTGATTATTTCTGTGGACACTATGTCAAAACTGTCCTATATGTTGTTGAAAATTCAAAATTTTGCTATGTTTAGGTATCACAATTCATAGTGCATATAACACCTACATGGTATCAAATCTATTTTCACAAGTGGCACGGACCTTCCTATGAAGTTTCATAAACTCAGTCACACTTCAGATTTCTTGCCCTGATATGGGTCTTTCTTTCCCTGACCTTTGCTCTCACTGCCCTTAACAGACCTCCAGTCCCCCCCTCCCCCAGTATGTCAGACAATCTTCTTGCTCTCCTTGACCTGATATTTCAACCCTGAGTTTATAACCATTGCACGTCCAATCCTCATGCCTTCCACCCTAAAGGTGGAAGCAGCATGTTTCTCCAAAATCTCGGTAAACATCTAGAAGGCTACAGGGTGCCACAATCCAGACGAGCAAAATCTATTCTTTCACTACCTTGAAACTTTAGAATTCATATCAGTCGCTCTGTTTACAGATTGCTATGGACAAATACTTTTCTCTAATTCTGCATTCTGGTTGCTGAGTCATCCATTTGTCAGTATAATGGGTTCATGTAACAACACTACACAGACATTAATTGTTGGTCAACAGTATGATACAAATAATAAGTAGGTGACATCACATTTAGTAACATTTCCAGCTGATGTGTCATAAGACCACCGTTCACATTGACAGATGGCGAAGCATTCAAAAAATCCAGGCGACAGTTTGGAGATGACAAATTCATGTTGCCTCCCACCAGGTGGTTAAGAAACTCTCGAATGCTAACGTCTGCCTTGACGCTCTCCAGGCTCAGCACCTATCAATAATTAATGTTTAAATTATAAAATATGGCGTATTATCCAAATTTATATTAAACACTTTCTGTCGCACTAGCAGAAACACTGAAGCTTTGTCAGCAAGAACGTGAGAAAGTATATTAGCTGCAATATCTCTAACCTTTAGTACATAAAGTGACATAACGCGAACCTGCTTTTGGCAGATCCTACTTAAAAAAAAAAAAAAAAAAAACACTCATGAAATTACAAAATTCTAACAGATAAAACGTGCTACCACTACAAATGTTAAAACCTGGCTCCATGAAACAGAATGTTCACCTTCGGAAGTGAGGACTCAGAGTACCAGATAAAAGATTTCAACAAAAAATGGAAAGACATAGTAAAATCTAACTGCTCTAAAATACTGCAAAGAAATTAGTTATTTTACATCCAACATAAGACATGTAAGTTTATCAGATACCTGCATAAATGTTGCATACTTTTCAATGTGAAATGTTGCCTTATCAACGCGTACACATAACACTCTTAAAATACCTTTCCCCCTGTGAAGCAAATAAAGATTTCAGTCTCCGAACAATGCATCAATAATGCGACGGTCTCTACACGGGATCTACCAAGTGTCTTGCTGATTTCAACTGTAAGAATGAAAAATATGTTTAGTTCACAGCAACTGCATCATCAAAATAATATTAACCTTTATAACATGAGAATACCAAATTTAAATAATGATATTAAAATATTAGCAGTATCTTGTACTATCTTACCAAGAATGTCATCCAGTGTACAAGTTTCATATTTGTACTGCACAACTTTCACATTATTATGAACTGTCTCCAGAACTACAGATAAATGTGGAGCTCGACTAGATGCTACGATAAGTCTCGATGGATCAGGTCTATTTGCCATATTTTCTGGGTTGTACTCACTGGATTTACTCACTCTGAACTGACTTAAAGTTCATTAATATCATCTGCAAATGAAACAAGTATAATAAAAACATGTTCTTTGCTTAATTTTACAGTGGAAAAAGGAACACCACATTCCTATATGCTTCTACACATAATCTGTATACATTATAGTCTAAATTAAAGAAATAATCCAATTATTATTTATAAAGGTAATTCGTCATAAGAATGTACACGCCTAGGGCAGTAGAGACGTGCTCAAAACTCTGTGGTTAAGTCCCCAATATTCAACATAAAATAAGATGTATTATATTCAAACCCAGTTATTTTAATGCAGCTCTCAAATGCTGGCTGCGGCACTCAAGGATAGCACTGGGAGCTACCACATTATTGATTTCAGAAACTAATATAAAAGTTAACATCAGCTGTAGACACATGCAAACAAATGTTGTCATGGTGATAGTCTCGTCCTTCAACACCAAGATGTCGCCAATTTAATTATTTTTAATATGAAGCGAAGTTAACAATTGTTTTGTTATTTATTGTCATTTAAATCATATTACATTCTCTTATGAAGGGCCTAAATCAATATATTTCTGCCCTGGTAATTGAAGAAAAAATAACGATCGTATTTCTCTATTTTTACGATTCACGCTCATAGCTGTCATTCGAAACCCAACAACTTGAAATATTTTATTAACCCTTTAAGTCCCAGGGTTGTATTAGAGGGAACTTAATACCTAGGTACTGCCCGACAGACTATCATGTATTGTCAATTAGAAATATATTACTCAGGATAATGACCTAAAACTCAACACTCGTCTATCTCAAAAAGTCTGTACATTAGTAGAGTCAAAGACAAGAGTAGATGTATTGCCAAATACAAGGTGATTATTTATTCAATGAACCATTAAAACAACTGTACAATACCATTATTCCCGCCTTTAAAATGTCTTCAATGTGAAACATAATCAATGCGCCTTCCTCCCTATGACATGACGAAGTCGAAATTTCGTAGCATAGTCTGCAAAGTTTTGGAGGAAATTGGAAACACTACTTGCTATATTGCCTCTTTCAAACCATCAAATGTGCGAAGGTTAATGCCCAACACTTTATCCTCGAAACAGTCCCATGGGTTTGAATATGGTAACGAAAGCAGCTTAACACGTCTGTATTCCCCTAGGCCATTTTTCTATCTGTGCCACACTCATTATGAAAAACGTCGATGGCTTTCTAAGAACTGACAAGTATTTTCTGTCGAGCCTCATGCACCACCTCAACGGGCGCGCCATTGTATAGATCGATATCTATTGGCTGTCCTTCCAGAACGACATTTTCGATGATTCCAGCAGGCTACCTACCTCCTCGAATCACGGATACCAACCTCCACACTGCCTAACTAAAGGAAAAACGCTAATTTTTTTTTGGTCTTTTATGCAAGCACACTCCATGCAGAATATTCTGTACTCTTTTACCACATAATGTACAATTTTGTAGTACTCTTTCGCAACGAACATTTCTTTCCATCGTTAACGTACCCGCTACCACAGGCTGTACCAACCTTGCCGTAAACTGTAGCCACACCTCCCGCTGACATAACACGCCCCAGCTCGAACAGAAAAACGACTGTCAGCATTTTATTTTAATTTCAAACATGGAATCATTGTGTAGAAACCTTGTACCAAACACGTGACTGCCATCAATACCGTTTCGATTTGGACAATGCTGAGCGCTGATAGGAGAGGTCATAAAATTGCGACTCTTTAGTATAGGTTTCCATGATGTTCCAATGCGACCAACCAAAACACAAATTTGTATATTGACTTTCCAAAGCTTTCAGTTCTGAGACAGCATGAATAATAAAAGTATAACTGAATATTTATATTGTCAGGTGTAATTATTGCACAATAGAATTTGATACATAGAAAAAGGTTTAAGTCTAAATAATATTGTTTTACTTGGTATATATTCAGAAAAAGTTTATTAAACATATTGACAAATTTTACATAAATAATGGGAAAAACTTACAAAAGTGCAAGCTGATAAAATGTTGAATTTCACATCCCAAAACCTGCAGCTATTTCAGATACTGAATCATGATCACAAATAGATGCAGAATATTCTTCACATTCATGTACATAATTTCCCTTCTTCACATTCCATAAATTAGAGTGTTTCTTCAAAATTCCAATCACTTTATGAGAGGATCCCTGAATACTTTGCACCAATCTGACAGACCACTTGTGTAAAAATAGCAGCAACTAATTTACCTACAATGACATACCAATCAAATGAAGAGAAAAAAGGAGTGTTGTTAGGTGGTAAAACAAATGACAAATATTAAAGCCAGTTCCAGTGGCCAGACAATATAAGTGGTCAGGGTCTTGACCACACAAACACAGGAATTGTGAACTGAATCCCACTTAAGACATGGATGTATTCATTTTTCTGGATCATTCTCTTCCTGCGTAGGTAGTCCTATTAAACATCTAACAAAGGGTTTGAAGAGCTGCAAATTATTCAGTAAGCCAAGGCCCATATGAGTGGCAAGTGCCTTGAAAAAAGAAGACAAACCTTAAGTAATGAACTTTAATTATGTCAGATCTAACTGGATATTACAATGTACAGTATTCCAGTTACAGAGTTAGTACACTATAATCAATTAGCAACAGATGAAAACAACTAACATTTTTTTTCAATATGTCAGCTTTAACTGTCCAGATACTGAATGTCTGGAATGTACGAGGCGCGTCCCAAAAGTAAGTTTCCCATTCGTCCCACAGCTAGCAAACCTTATATTGCGCGAAGCGACTGTGCGTACGTGATAGAGCAATGACGTAGCATGGCGCATGCACTAACGGAACTTCCCGCGTTCTCACAGCAAGTCTCCTGCCGGAGTTCAGCTGGGAGGTGTTTAATCATCGACCCTACAGCCCGGACCTCGCTCCCAGTCATTTCCATCTTTTCCTACACCTCAAGAAATTCCTGTCCGGTCAGCGTCAGCGTTTTGAGAATGACAGAGAGGCGGAGATGGTTGTCACACAGTGGTTCCAATCCCAGGCGGGCGACTTCTACGACACAGGTATTCAAAAGTTGGTCCCACGGTATGACAAATGTCTCAATTCCGGTGGCGAATATGTTGAAAAATAGCTGGACACTTGCTGTATCTGTTGCAATAAATATTTCCATGAAATTGTGTTTTGTTTCTGTAAACGGCCCCAGGGAAACTTACTTTGTGGACGAGCCTCGTACATGTGAAATCCCTGAACTGCACATATTTTGACTCCAAGCTCTTTAGCCTCATACGATGAGGTATGGAGAGAGAGGAGGTGGAGTACAGAAAAGCGACTGAGCCCAGTTGGGTGAAGCAAAAAGAAAGTATTCTCCAAAACATATGGTTCTTTGATGTGGATCATTTCCATATGGATGGAGTTGTCAACAAGGAAAATGTTTCATTCTGGACCATAGAACATACACATCACTTTCTTCCATAATAAATTCATGCTATAACTTATATTAATAGGACTGCTGATCAGTACACAGTGGTTTGTGCAAGATGGAGCCAGACCATACACAGCTAATGTGGTTCTTGATTTTGTGTATGAAACCTTTGCTTCCAGAGTGATTTCTCTTCAGTTTTCTAGATGCCATGATTGTGGACAGAGATGACCATCCCACAGCCTGGACATTCATACGCAGCTTGCAGGTCAACTCCAGATGGTTCTTCAAAGTTCATTTGTGAGTTTATACCTTTCTGTTATGACTCTGATGCAATGTTACCAACCCACCACAACTTCAGACATGTCTCCTGATAACTACTATCCATTGAAGAGTCCGATTCTGATTCCGAATGTCTCATGTGGCGCTGACCTGATGCTGTAGCCAGGATTGGATACTGCTGATGTATGCTGTAATCACCAAATGATTATATCAGACAAGACAGACTGTGTATATACAATACAGACTGATTCAGAAAAACCACAATATTTTGTCTATATTGTAAAGTAAGCCGTCACGCTACATGCCATATAGGTCGTTTGAGGGGAGTGGAGGTATAGCTCCTACTCTTTGTTGACCTCAGCACTAGATGGGGGTGAGTGGTCAGCATCATGCCCCGGCCACGCTTTACCCCTGGGAAAGGACCCCGGTACCCATTGGATAGGAGGCTGGGTGGGTCCCAGAGCCGGTCCGGACGCAAAGGCTAGAGGAAAAATCCTCTGCCCCCGTTGGGGATCGAACCCCAGTCGTCCAGCCCATAGCTAGTCACTATACTGACTGAACTATCCCAGATCCTGTCTATATTGTAGGGTAGTCAATTAGGAAGAGAAATGTTCAGATAAGACCAGTGAAATTTAATTTCATTACTAAGTCAAGAAATCTTAAATTTCCCAGTTTGGATGCACTGAGAGGTCACTGGTACAAATATATAAGTCTAGCTGCAAGCTGAAGCGCCACACAGCTGAGTGATTTCAATGGCTGACACGCACGTTAGGATATTCTGCTCACATAAACCACTTGCTCCTAATAAACTGGTATAGTCATATAAATTATTTGTTTCATAGTGTTTTAATGACACTTTCTCAACCATACAGATTATGTAGTCTTGAATGACAGGGTGACTGAATGGTAACTTGTAAAGGGTGTAAAAGAAAATGGCCACAAGCTGTTTAAAGGCACTGATACAATTGCAGAATTCAGTCAGACAGGCTGAGAAAAACTTGAGTTATGATAGCTCACTTCTGGGCCAAAAATCAAACTTCAAGAATACAAAGCAGGCATGCTAACCACTACACTGTGATATTTCATATGATGGTGAGTTGTTTCTATTTGTAACAGTGATGCCATGAAAGCAAAGAAGGGAAACACAGGTAATGCTCCATGATATTAAGCTTAGCATTAGATGGGGGTTGCTTTACCGTTAAAGGAAAGATCCTGTTATACATTGGATAGAGGAATGGGTAGACCTCAAAACCAGCCTCAACAAGAAGGCAAGGATAAAAATCAATGCCCCTGCTCAGAATCCGTGTGCGCCCTAGGCAGCACATGTGATGTGACAAAATGACTTGACTTGACCACTACCTTCATTCAACCAAATGCGCCATGGATGGTGAACTCTGTATTCTTACATGTGTACAGGGACCCTGATTCACCCTACATTTTAATTGTAAAGTGTGAAAAATCCTTGTTTTCTGACAGTATTTGTTAATATTATGTGACAAAAGTCAATGTACCTTAGCATCAGAAAATTCTCGGAGTAAACATAATGCAAAAGGCACCGTCTATTAGCTGTTACTTAAAAGAAGTAACTAGGAACTGTAACAAATGGAACAGACGCCTACAACTTCAATCTGAGCAATGAACAGATTAAGCGAGCACTGGTAGGAATGGTCAGTCCAAAGATCAGAGGATTAAATGGATCAGTTAACAAAATAAAATTCCTCATACAACATATAGATGATACACAATACCTTATGCCATTCACACAATCACTGTGGGCAGTGAATGACGTGCACGAAGAAAGAACTGTTTCTTCTGCAGTTGCTCTTGAAATCTGCAACATATCCCAAACACTAACACAACCATTCGTGTTACCTGCAAGAAAACAATACACAATACAATTTTGCCAGTTGTCCTGTATGGGTGCGAAATTTGGTCTCTCCCTTTGACGGAGGAACAAAGGTTGAGGGTTTTTGATAACGGAGCGTTGAGGAGGATATTTGGACCTAAAAGGGAGGAAGATGGATCATGGAGAAAATTTCACAATGATGTTAAATTTATTCTTCCAAAACAATGGTAACAACGCACAAGATCATATCCATCACAATCCAGAAAACAACAATCAACATTTCACTACTGCAAGAACCGCAGATATCAAAAACAGTTTGTGTGCATACATCTGGAATAATAGGGCCTTAACTAAAAAGTAAAATTCTACAAGGTAGCAGTTTGATGTTCTGTACTCAGTATATGAACAGCTTAAACCTGATACATAATAGAAAGAGAAAAACTATGAATATGGCCATATTACACCACATCAAAAGTAACTTTGCCTTCAAAAACAATTTTAAATTACTTTTTTTACTTGTAGTCATACTGTTCCAAGTGCACAATACAATTTGTATCACATGTAGTTCTGTATACTGATTAGCGCTTGATTTCACTCACCAGACACAAGATATCTGGAATCAGGTGTGATGTCAAAGTACATCCGCTGGTTGGTGGCAACATCTCGCTGGACAGAGAAGAGAACGGTCCCAGGGTTCCGTATGTCCCAGCATATGACCTCAGAGTCCTTGCGTCCACCACTCAGTAGCTTAGTGCCATCTGGTGAGAACTGTAGGTGTGTTATTCCCCCACTATGGCCCAGGAGAAGACACAGCACTGACCCATTTGGTTCCGAATACACACCTGACACAAAACAAAACATTACATCCTCAAACCAAAACGCTTCATTCATATCAGTGTTTGTGGATCTGTGGACCCACATTTTATGCACACTATATTTTGAGAGAACTTTTTTCGTTCAACCATGTTCAGCAAACTTTACAATTTAAAGGAAAGATGAAGTTGCATAATAATGTTCAAAGAACAGGATAAAACATAGTATTTAGACATTTGTGGATGAAATTTGCAGTTTTCCCCACATTCTCTGTTCCTAGTTCTGCATACCACATAAATTAATATGGTCTCCCACTTAACTAGCATAAATGGGACCAAGTAGTAGGTTGGTCTATTCAGTGTTCAAAGTTTCAGGCGTGCCATGAATCTTTTAAATAAATTGTATATTCATATATTACAGTTATAAAAAGTAACAGCATCTCTTTTGTATATATAATTCATAATATATGCATATATATAACCACACACACACTCACTCACCAGTTCAAATGCTTGCATTCTCAGAGGGCAAGCATTTATATGCACATACATATTTAAGGCCATGCTCAGTTTCATAACCTCCTTTTCGTGAGGCGGGTTGCAGAACACTGGGTTAATTAGAAATCTGGTTAATCCAAAGTTACATTCTTTGCTTTGAGAAGCAATGAAAAAATAAAAAGGAATAAAAAATGTAGTACAAAGTTAAAAACCATAACTGACATTCACTAAAGAAAACAATGATTTATCAGTTGCAGATGCACCAAGGGAACAATGATATCGAAGATCACTGTCGCAACAGTATCATCCATGTCATATGCAACACTGAAATCCAAGGTCACTTGTAACAATGTGATAAAAGACATGACAAGCATTGACTGGCCCATAAAGTGTTCTATGCTTATGCCAAATGTAAAACATGCCTAAAAGGGTTGTGGGGACCCTCCCAGTCACCAAGACTGGTACCACAGGGCATCATGGCACGTGGTGCTGACCGCTCGCATCGTAGTGCTGTGCCGTGCTCCTACACACACCCCATCATGGCTATGACTTAACATGGTACAAATTTACAGAACTTCTGCATATCAATTTCTGAGGTCATATAGTCTCGAAGGAGACACACATGAAGTGGCCTATTTAAAATTACAATCCAGATATTTATGTCCTCAGTGAGACAGCTGGTTCCATAACCATGAATTGAATAAATTGTCATGGTAATTAATTTCAATACAGATACCATGAACAATCAGGGGTTGTTAGCATCATCAGCTTCATGGTATTCTACTATTTTATAAAGTTTATTTATTTCAGTAACTCAGATTATATAGTATGAGAGGATGATAATGAATTGGAAATGACGTGGAAGCAGTCGTGGCCTAATTTAAGGTAATATTTTGGCATTTGCCTGGAGGAATTGAGAAAAATCACAAAAAACCTCAGTATAGCTGGTCAGTTCATCTGTAATGTCTTCATTTATTGTGTGTTCTCATAAAGATATTCCTGTCACAGATCTCAAATAGCATATTTGTGCCAACTCCAACTCTCTTTTATCTGTTGTTCTCAATATCAGGGTTTCTAATCCATATGTTGAAATCAAGAATGCAATCAGATTTACATACTTGGCAACAGGCTGGTTATCTGTCCTGAGGGTATTTGAATAAACAGTGTCTCCAGTGGACTGATTAGCTAGATGAACACTACAAGCTCAATTAACACACGCCCTAAACGCTGTATGACCTTGAACTGCCACTGAAGCTGTATGTTATCTGTAGGATGGGTTTTACTGGCAGTATTGTTCAGATACCAATTCCAATCTTATCAAAATAAAAAAAAACTAAATAAAAAAAATGTATTTCAAGACTTTGTCAACATAAAGCACTCTCAAAATAAAGAGTAAGTAGGCACAGAATCAATACATTTCAAATCATCACGCTTAACAAATAACACCTACAGATTAAGATTATCACTGTGATCTCTCATATTCAAAGATTCATTCCACCAACACAAACACATTCATACTACAGAGATCACATGTCTTCAGTTCCCCACAGACCAGAGGAGGAACTACATAAGGTATTACACAAGTCTATTTCAAAGTGGCCATTGGACAAAGACACCTGTGACAAACATTTGCTGTTAAAAATTGTAGGCATTATTACACTAGTAAAAAACCTTCATATTGTATTTTAAAATAAATGCACTTTACAACAATAAATCAGACTTTCTTTTGATGAAGAAACAGATTAAATGGAATAATAAAACATTCTTAAAGAGTTTCAAGTTCAGTACAAAGGGCAAAGTGAAATGTAATTTGTAACAATGAAAGTTCTTCTTACCTAGCAATAAACATAATTTTGTCATCACTCATAAAATTACTCTGCTGCAATGTTTAATACACCAATTAAATAAACTGGACTAAAATGACGGTAAATTTAAGTTAAATTTTATTCGTGCCGTTTCATTACATGGGAGACCACCTGTCCTGACGTTTTCTGTGGTTTACTTCAGTTCAACACAGTAGATTCCTTTACAGTACCTTGACCACTTCCTTGTCTATGAACCTCACAAGTTCACTAATCATGATATAATAAACCCCTACAGTTGACAAAGTATCATTAAATAACCTTCAACTCATTCAGAGTGATGGTCACAATCTCAGGATTTAATTTAAACACAATAAAAGTGAGTCAGATAGTAAAAATACATTGATAAATGTTGTTTGAATAAGTATTCACATGTAAGACTTGAGGTTCTCACAGTGGTGAATATGAAGATTTCTGTCTTCTGGGTTATTGCGCTGTGTAGTCTGGTCGATGTTAACCAACGTTTCAGAGGTCATACTGCCTCCGTCATCAGGGCCCTGATGACGGAGGCAGTATGACCTCTGAAACGTTGGTTAACATCGACCA